ATAGCGAGGTGCTTGTAGATCTCCTTATAAAGATCCTTGTATACATAGAAGAGAATGGTGCCCTAGCCAGAAATGCTGACAGGAGAGAAAATGAAGAATTTTAAAGATTGTGCAGACTTAGCAGAACCTTTAGCTTCCAGATGAAGGACAGAAAGATAAAATAAATAGAAATATAATATATTATTCTTAATCTTTTATTATTAATCTGAATAAATAAAAAATTTTATTTATCAGTAAATATATGATTTTTCAGAAAAGGAGACCAAATTTTCTACAAGTACATATAACCATGCAGATTATTTATATTAAATTAGAACCAGCAATTAAAAGAAAATTGAAATAAAAACTTTTTCATTTTGTCAAAATATATTTGATGATATATAAAAAGATGCACCTCGAACCACTGATATATACTGTCCTGTGTTTAACACTTATCTGCACAGCAATTTAGACAGAAGGAGAAGGTCAAATTTAGGCGACATTTCTGGTATACGACTTTGTGACCTTTGTAGATTATCTAGCATTTATTTTACGCAAATGTATTGAGCAAGTAATTTTATGAAGTTATTCTATTAAAAAATTTTATTTTCCTATAGCTCTTCTTAATACAGGGTGTCCCTCGGAACATGAGAGTAGGAAGACGACATGAAAGCCATTTTTATCATTTCTGTCGCCAACCTACTTTAACATTTAAGATAATTGAGAAATAACCACATAATTCTCCTAGTCCTGACATTTCCAAAATGTGGTCTGCGTTTTTTGTGCTGTCAATATTACCGGAGATATATGTTAATAATTTTCTTCAGATTTCAATATCTATATTTATAAAGTTGTAATCACTTTTGTCTGTTTGTTTGTTTGTTTGTCTGATCATAACTCAGGAGCCCCTGCAGACCGATTTGCCTCAATTTTAATTGGGGAACTCACAAGACCCGCGATAATAGTCTTAGCTTGGTTTAGAGATTTTAAGTTGAGTGGATCGACTGTAGTGCGGGTTCACAGGCTGGTTGAATTAGATAAACTAAATTGTAGTGTGGGTTCACAGGCTGGTTGAATTAGATAAACTAAACTGTAGTGCGGGTTCACAGGCTGGTTGAATTAGATAAACTAAACTGTAGTGCGGGTTCACAGGCTGGTTGAATTAGATAAACTAAACTCTGTAGTGTGGGTTCACAGGCTGGTTGAATTAGATAAAACTAAACTGTGGAAATCTTAAAAGGAAATTCTAGGGTAATATTGAAAGTACAAAAAGGTAGACCTTATTTTGGAAATGGCAAGAATATGGGCATAGGCATGGATAGCCGGGGGGGGGGGGGGTTTTGGGGGGAATTACCCCCCCCCCCCAATTTTACCAATGAACTAATTCAAAGCAAAACAGATAAACTTGACTTGCACTATATCTTAAATTAGGTAGAGAAAAAAGGTTAAAGATCAAGCTAATTAAGTACTAGCTGAAGTGCCCGGCATTGTCCCTGGAATAAAAAAATTTAATTTTGAAAAACAAAAAATTAAAAATATTTGAAAAAAAATTATACTTTTTTTAGCATATTACATATATATGTATATCAATTTAATTTGATTTAAATAAATCCACTATTTTGCTTTAGAATAAATGTATCTATAAGTAAATGTAATTAGTGACTATAATATATATGTATAATCTTCTGTATATATATATATAAAGTTGTAATCTCTGTTTGTATGTTAGTTTGTCCGATCATAACTCAGGAACCCCTGGACCATTTGCAACAAATTTTGATTTGGAAAATCAGAAGACCCATGGGAATGTTTGCTTGGTTTTCAGATTCCAAGTTAAGTGGGTCGACTTTAATAGCGAAAATTCAGTTTCACGGTAAAATCGTTCAAGTGCGGGTAAATGGCGGGAGTAACTTTCAGTAACCTGGGCAGCGCTGGGTTCCCATGCTATATAGGGTATCAACTAAGAAAGGTGAAGTAGGGCTGGGCACGTTCCGACTTTTTTGAAATCGTTCCGTTCCGTTCTAGAACGAGGGCCTGTTAACGATTTTAACCGTTCTTTTCAAGCAATTCCCGTTCCGTTCCGTTCCGTTCTTTTACTAATCGTTCCAATATTTTTAAGAACGCGTTCTAAACGTTCGTTTTTTTCGGAACGATGGGATCGTTCTTGATCGGAACGTTCGTTCTCGGCAAAGAACGATCGTTCCACCGTTAACGCGCCCAGCCCTAGGTGAAAGCTGAAAGGTGGGCAAGGAAGGCTTTTTTATTGCAGATACTGATACTGTGATTTGGGAAATTGAAAAAAAACTAAAACCCAGAAATTGATATACATCATGGATGGGTAGTATATGGCCAAAGGAGGGGGGGGGGCACAGTGGGGTATTATGGGGGGGTAGCTCCAGCTCCCCCCATCATGAACAGCATGATATCCAGCATCACCTCTTCAAGTCAGCAGATCATTGCAAAAACTGACTCTCCAGTGGGAGGCTGCGTGTTAAACAGCTCCCATGGCTATCAATGCCTCCCCGTCTTAAGTTTTCATAAATATGCTTTAAAAATATTTTATTTTCTATATAATGTATATGCTTGGGACAAAAATATATATTTGATTTGATTTGATAAATGAATTTATTCCATAAGCCTCTTTTTATGTCAAATAAGATTTTTTTGGGAGAAGTCTCTAAGTGGTTTAAATGTTATATTCTAGTTAAGAATTTCGACCAAAAACCCGCTATTTCATTGAAAACTCTTAAAATAGGATTTTTCGACACGCTACTCTGAGCACATTAAGGTTTTCGGAGTGCTGCTGGAGGACCTAAATCTTTCTATATGGCTCTTAGAATCTTTTTACATATTTAGATTATCCCGAAACCCCTGTGCTTTCATGGGTAATGTTACATCATCTATACGCAACATCCCCCCTACTGAACTTCCGTCCAACTAACTTTCCGACCTACTGCAATATCGGACCTACGCCAGCTGTTTATTTTTGTATTATTTGAGGGTTAGGTTAGGTTAAGACAATTTCTGGGCCGAGCGCTGCGGCTAGGACAGGTATAGGGGGCCGCGCGCTGCGGCCACAAGTCCATATAGCAGCTGTGAAACCACGTGCTAGTAGGTCGGGAGTAGTATAGCAGATTTGGCGAAGGTCAGAAGTGGAATATAGCGGATTTGCGTAGGTCGAAAAATACACCACCTGTGCTTTCACTAAAAAATAATATGTTTCTTCCAAAATGCTCCTTGCCCCCCTGCACCGTTCACTATGTTTCACTCGGTGCTCCTGGGCCCATACTACGCAACATCCTTAGGAAAATCCTGGTTACGGGCCTGCCCCCGCCCACTAGCATAAGAATTGATAAAACGTAAATTTAAAACATTCCAGTTAATCATAAAGTTTCTTCTTGTTTCCTTTTTAATGAATACGACTGAAACCCGTTTAAAAGTATCACCGCGGCAATATTGAGAGAACTGCGCCTCTTGAAAGCTTTCCCACAATTTCCTACCGTGGAATTGTTAAACAGTTGTGTTACTCATTTCCGTGAAAAGATTAGCTTGAATAAAATTGATTTCCATGTAATCTATATTTTGTAATATATTTATATTACTGTAAGCTTATTCATAAGTGACTTTATTCTTTTGTAACGTTAAGATCATCGAGTCATTTGTCCCTGCAGCATTACGGTATTTTTATAAACATGATTTACCAGGGTCTGTCCCGGTGAACGATTTCCCCCCCAGGCCCCCCCCCCTCCTNATATTATATTATATGATATAAATCGTTCTCTAGGAAATTACCGCACCTTTTTTTAGACCATTTCAGAAAATTTTGCATGAAAACTTTCAAAAAAATTAAGTTAGTTTGTTTCTGCATTCTAAATAGTGTTAGGTTGATTGTTGATTCAATTGACCATCGAAATTCATTCATAATTTTTCGAGAATATTGATGTTTGCTAAATAATGTTTTTTTTAGAAACCTCAAGCAAAGAAGGAAACCATCCCAATGAATCCCATAATAGATTTTTAGATTTTAAATGTGTATTTATCCAGTTTCTCCTCTCATTCTCCTCCTAAATTACTCGTTTCTCCTCTCATTCTCCAAATTAATTGTTTCTCCTCTCATTCTCATCCTAATTTACTTGTTTCTTCTCTCATTCTCCTCCTAATTTACTTATTTCTTCTTTCATTCTTATTCTAATTTACTTGTTTCTTCTCTCATTCTCCTCCTAATTTACTTGTTTCTCCTCTCATTCTCATTCTAATTTACTTGCTTCTCCTTTCATTCTTATCCTAATTTACTTGTTTCTCCTCTCCTTCTCATCCTAAATTACTTGTTTCGCCTCTCATCATCACCCTAATTTACTTGTTTCTCCTCTCATTCTCATCATAATTTAGTTGTTTCTCCTCTCATTCTTATCCTAATTTACTTGTTTCTCCTCTCATTCTCATCCTAATTTAGTTGTTTCTCCTCTCACTCTCATCCTAGTTTACTTGTTTCTCCTCTCACTCTCATCATAATTTACTTGATTCTCCTCTCATTCTCCTCATAATTTGCTTGTTTCTCCTCTCATTCTCATTCTAATTTACTTGTTTCTCCTCTCATTCTCATCCTAATTTACTTGTTTCTCCTCATCCTAATTTACTTGTTTATGCTCTTATTCTCATCCTAATTTACTTGTTTCTCCTCTCATCCTCATCCTAAATTACTTGATTCTCCTCTCATTCTCCTCATAATTTGCTTGTTCCTCCTCATTCTCATTCTAATTTACTTGTTTCTCCTCTCATACTCATCCTAATTTACTTGTTTCTCCTCCATTCTCATCCTAATTTACTTGTTTCTCATTCTCATCCTAATACAAATTGTACTGATTTTTTTTTACGGATTTCCCCCCCAAAAATGTACGGATTTGTTCTGAAAATGTACGGATTTTTTCTTTAAAGGCCACCCTGAATATTAGATATTTATATTATGTTGATCGAGGTTACGCGTGTATTTGATATGTGAGGGATTTGTCAAAAAAGCGTTCTTTAAACCGTCTTTTTATTTCAGATATGTCTGCAAAACTAGTTTAAGTTTGTATAAATTTGGCTCACACCCTGGTGTCCAAGCTGGTGTAAGGTTTAGGTCTGATTCGACTGGACGGTAATGTTTGATAAAATGTTATTACGTCGCGACATGGAGAAATTAGAAAGAAATCGATCCCATCACATTCTATCACCTGAAGAGGTACCTTACTTACCTTTTGTTCACGGATGTAGTTTTTTTATGGGGGGAAAGGGGGGTGTATGTGTAGGGGGGATAAGGAAATGGATAAATTATTAATACGGTAATACCACAGGGGGGGGGGGGACAAATTGGACTATTAAATTAATTTCTAATTTATATATTGCCGTACATGATTTCTAATAATAAAGTCGTCTGTGTTTACTTGTTATTTTAAAATGTGTTATGAAAGGTCACTTAAACTCTCTTTTTGACTCGTATTTGAAATTAGAAAAAAAAATTTAGATATATTTTAACTTAATGAAAAAGTCCATGGTGAGAAAAATACACCTTAAAAACATTTATCTGATAATCTGTTACAATTGTTATTTTTCAAGGTTGCCTCTGGTAGAAACACAAGTTGGCCAGAATTGGAGATCACAGGTGTGGGATTTTATTAAATGAAATTAAATAAATAAATTTACTGATTAATAGATAGGTAAATTTACTGATTAATAGATAGATTAAATGACTGATTAGTAGATGGATTAATTTATTGATTAATAGATAGATTAATTGACTGATTAATATATTGATTAATTGACTGATTAATAGTTAGATTAAATGACTGATTAATAGATAGATTACTGATTATTAGATAGATTAATTGACTGATTAATAGATAGATTACTGATTAATAGGTAGATTAATTGATTGATTAATAGATAGATTAAATGAATGATTAGTAGATAGATTGATTTACTGATTAATATATTGATTAATTGACTGATTAATAGTTAGATTAAGTTTGAGTTTGTTTTTAATCTTTGTGAAGAAACAATCTCAAGAACTGACGAGGGTCAACCCAGACCGAAATATATTTTCAATAAATGTGGAACTAACATCTACTTTTTTACTCTACAGAGGTTTGGTCCATCACCATCACTGAATTTTAAATAGTTAGATTAAATGACTGATTAATAGATTGATTACTGATTAATAGATAGATTACTGATTAATAGATAGATTAATTGACTGATTAATAAATAGATTACTGATCAATAGATAGATTAATTGGCTGATTAATAGATAGATTACTGATCAATAGATAGATTAATTGACTGATTAATAAATAGATTACTGATTAATAGATAGATTAATTGACTGATTAATAGATAGATTAAATGACTGATTAGTAGATTGATTAATTTACTGATTAATATATAGATTACTGATTTATAGATAGATTACTGATTATTAGATAGATTAATTGACTGATTAATAGATAGATTACTGATTAATAGATAGATTAATTGACGGATTAATAGATAGATTAAATGACTGATTAGTAGATGGATTAATTTACTGATTAATAGATAGATTAATTGGCTGATTAATAGATAGATTAATTTTGCTGATTGATAGATAGATTAATTGACTGATTAATAGATAGATTAATTGAATGATTAATAGAAAGATTGAATGACTGATCAGTAGATAGATTAATTTTGCTGACTGATAGATAGATTAATTGACTGATTAATAGATAGATTAATTGACTGATTAAATAAATAGATTAATTGACTGATTAAATTAATAGATAGAACAACTGACTGATTAATAGTTAGATAAAATGACTGAATAAAAAATACATATCATTTTGTATTATTGACTAACTAAGCCTGTATTGTTAACGTACAGGCTGAACATTTCAGTGGAAGTATAATTGATAACCCAGAGGCCGAATTTAAAGAATTTGAGCCGCAGCTTAAATATAAGCCGCGGTTCAAATTTGGTTGGTTCCACTTAAAATTGTATTCAATGTTTCAAGATTTAAGCCGGCGCGCAATTAAAACCGGGTTTTGGCGGATTTAAGACGCGGCTCAAAATCATTAAATTCAGACTTAGGAATGATTAATTAATTGTCTGCTTGGCATGAAATTGATTGATTAATTGATAAAGTTCCAGTAAAATAATATTTTTTGACATTCTGCTAATGTTTGGATCGGATTGGTAATTACTGAAAAATCGAATTTCTAGTTCCTACTTTTTAAAGATTGATTGAATAACTCATTTAATGATTTCTTGATTGCTAATTTTTTTAATTTGTAGGAACAATAAAGAACTTGTCCCCCTCGCTGTGGCAACTACATCACCTGACCGCTCTATACCTCAATGATAACTCACTGTTCAGAATACCTTCATCTATCGCCCTACTGCACAATCTCAAGTAAATTAATTTTAATTTTTTTTCAGGGGGATATATTTTATTTATTGAGCCAAATCTCCCCCCTCCCCCTTCTTTACAGTGTCCGTTATTGTTTAGGTTTTCATCGTTGATTTGGGGAAAATGAATGATTTTTAACGAAAATTACATGAATTACATGAATACAGTCATAACCAGACAGACTTAGAATTAATTGAGAGTTGATCAGAAGACTTTACATATATATCTCTGGTAATTTTAAACGCACATTAAAGGCAGATTACATTTTGGAATTGGCGGGACTAGGGCTATTTTGTTATCGTTTCATTAATCATATTTGTAAAATTAGAATTTAAAGTCGTCTGATTAACTATAAATTAATTCAGGGTCTTTCTGTTTATGACTGCAGTGCCAGTAAGAAAGAAGTGTAAATATATTTGCCACGAAATGTCCAATGTTTTTTTTTTATTTGGGGAGGGGGGGGGTTTTCTAATATTTTTGCTTTGTAAGAAGTTTGACTTTTAGAGTATTCGTCTCTTTAAATATTGGTTACTGATAATTATCTTAACGAGTGTTTCTGAATGCTATATTTTTAAAAACTAAAATAAGTTTTCATATAGTTCTATTATATTTTTTTATATAGTTCTATTATATTTTTTTTTGTTAGACGTCTTGATCTCTCAAACAACAAGCTCAGATCCCTTCCTGCGGAGATTGGCGATCTTTGCAATCTCAGGTTTGCCACTTATATTAATTTATCTATCCGTCTATCTCTTATCTATCTATCTAAGTCTATATCTATCTATCTATGCTTACTGTACTGATCAATAATCATGGAATTTTATTCTTCTATATTTATTATATATATCAAGATTATGTATTCATGGTGCTTTGCGCCCATCTTCTATTTCAATTTTAAAATTGTTGCTTTACATGTAAACATTTTCTCTTTGTATTAAGTAAAAAGCTATAACAAAAAAAGTTCGCGGATTTGATAATATTTTAATTCGTGGATTTTAGTTTTTTAATTTTTTGAAAATTAATTTTGAAGGCAAATTTTTAAAATTCTGATTATCCATAAACCTTCCCTGTGGTCATGTTAGGTCCCACAAAAAAGGGCCTGATCGGTTTAGCTGTTTTGACGTTTATTGGTGACATACGAACAGGCAGACAAGCAATTTTTTCACAAATGATTAAAAAACACCATGTGGCCATTTGTCTTATTTTTTTGTAACTTTGCATTACTTCAAAATTATATATGCGAGATATGCAATGAATCAAAAATGATGATATTTTCCTGAATTTCTATTTCTGAATGGAAGGTATTTTAAGAAAGAAAAAAAATGGGTTGGCGGCGCGGGTGATGCGGGTAAAGAACACAATCCCTACGTCTCTTTTACCCTTTTGCTATATTTTTTTGAAAATAAAAGAATATTTATTGTTCAGAGAACTAATGCTTAGTAACAACTATCTCCGAGCGCTTCCATACGAATTGGGAAAGCTGTTCCAGTTACAGGTATTTAGGATGTTTATTCAGGGTTGCACATTTTTAAATAAATTATTTAGAATTAATTTATTTCCTACGGAAAAGGAATGTTTTAGGTGTTTTTTTACCATTGAATTCTGGAAATGAAAAAATTTTCAGTAATATAAAAATTTAAGTTTTTGTGCTAAAAGCATCACCAGGAAATGACAAAAATAAATTGAACGAACTGATATTTCAGACGATGGGACTGAAAGGAAATCCGCTAGGCTCAGATATTCTCTCTCTCTTCTCTGAGGAACAAAATCATCGTAGTCTTTTTTTAAATTCAAATTTTTTAAAAAAATTTTTTCAAGTACTTGAACATAATAATATTTTTATGAACTGATAAAGTCCAGTTTCATGATTTTTAAAAGAATGATTAATTTCAAAAATGGAATTTAAAAAAAAACTTTTGAATTACGATGGTTTTGACTGTAGGTGAACGGAACAAGAAAGCTGCTTGATTTCATGTTGGACAATCTAGGGGTGTCCACCACCCCCCCTCCTCCTAGACCCTGGATGCAGTTGGCGCCCCTTGACAGGAAACATTTCATGACATCCCCCCCCTCTACTGCACGGCCCCTTTCTTCTTCTCCCCTTCCCGGCAAAATTAATCTTCTAGATTTTTTAATAATATAGTTTTATTGTCAATATTGTTTCTTCTCAAATTATGCATTTCTTTATAGAAAGGCCTTTCCGATTCACAACGGTACCTTTCATATCTTTGTCGTATGTCAAGTTTTTGAAAATTAATCAAAATTAGTATATTATATTATATGATATTTTTAAACATGAAACAGGTTTAATACAAAGTTATCAACAAGTAAAAGCGTTCTGCGTATTAGTCAAAGGTTTAAAGGAAGGGTACCATTGTCAATCGTACATGCCACGCTACAATTGGAGGGTCATTTAAAACTGAAGCTGCTTTAACGATTCCAGGAGAGATGGTTGTCATGTACTGTGTTATAAAGGACGAGTCCTACTGCTTTGTTTACTGTTATGTGCTATAATGTTCTTTGTGACAGATATGCCACAAGGTAAGATAGTTTTTTACATTCTTTTGCTCTTCTTGTTTTGTTCTTGATTAATTTGCTTTTTTTTCTTGTAATTGTTCTGGTTTTCGCCCATGTTCTTGTCTGTGACATTTTTCTCTCCATCGTGTTTTTTTCACTATCTTTTAATCAATCAACCAATCTGTGTTTGGATCTTTTAGCCATACCATTTTGGGAAACCGACGACCAGACTTGATAAATAGCTTAACCGCAAAGACGTATTTCAACCACTGGTCTTGTGATTGCGACCTCTTCGATTTATTAAATTGGTCCCTGGACCCAATACCGATAAATCTATTTTAAGATCAAAATGCATTCTAAAACAGTTTTTTTAAAGCAGCACATTATCTTTAAATGGTATTGTTGTATTATTCTAGGGGTTTGTACGGTTGGTGCCCCCAGTGGTCCTTAAACTGGGAATACAGAAAGAAAATGATCCTTGACGAAATAAAACATTTCTCAGCCGACATTATTGCACTTCAGGTTAGTTTAATGTATTTAATCATATTTAATTACGAAAATTACTTTTCAAAATTAATTATGTTTAAAGATTGCAATGTTTTTATTATGCATAGAATTTTAAAGATTCAACCCTTTTCTTGCTTAAAGTATGTGCGCCCAAGGTTATCTATATTTTTATAACAAGGAATGCTTGGCCAGAGTTGACAGACTGAGTTAATTTTTTTAATAAACTATTTGTTAATTTATTTGTAGGAGGTGGAAACAGAACAGTTTTATAAATTTTTCCTGCCAGAGCTAAAAAGAGAAGGTATGATGAATTTTAGATTTGCTTAGCTTTTACATTCAACAATATTATTGAAAGAAAGGTCTGGGTGTGATTTATTATTTTCTATGATTATTTATACACACACTTTTCAGGAAACATTATATAATAGTTGCTGTTTTGTAAAAGAGAGGAGGGGGGGGGGTCCATGCCCATTGCCCATTTTGTAAGATTTGATCAATTAAAAGAAATACTTTTATCCTTGTTTGAAAGATTTTCATAGATTTGCTCCCAAAATTTTTTTACTACGCTTATTAATTGCTATGTATTCTTAATTTGAGTATACACTTTTTTAAATAATTATGTGGAAAATATATTTCCGACTGACATTTGATAAGTTCTATTTGATTAGGTTATGAAGGTATCTTCTCTCCAAAATCCCGAGCGAAAACGATGGCAGAATCTGACCGAAAACATGTGGATGGTTGTGCAATCTTTTACAGAACAGCAAAGGAAAATATCGTCGAATGCATTTGAATCACTTAATGGGACTGTAAGTGCAATTTCAAGTGACCCTCCTTGCATAGAGGACAATGCCTGAGTTTCAACAGTATCCTTAAAATTCATTGTGTCCGTTGAGATATTTGTGGAATGTTTGTGTAAACTTATCGCTTGTATTCAGCTGAACATCCCAGTGTGCGCTACCTACACCCCGACCAGCGCACACCGGGATTTTCTGCTGAATACAAGGAGGGTTTACTCACACATCTCGGTACTCGGACAATACACAAAGGGTTTAAGGTTACCGTTGTAAATCGTATATTCCCCTCTTTGCATGAAAGGTCACTTGAAATCGCGCATATATCCCTTTAAGAAAAAAATATGTGACTTTTAAATCAGTGAAATTGATTTAAATAGACTCTATTGTTTGGACTAATTTTAGATCGACACATTTCTTTATTCGATCATAATATCAGTAAATCGGACTTTGGCTGAAAAATATAATTAGTTTAATTTATTCATAAATGCAAAAGTTTTACTTTACTGATACGAGTTAAAGTTATGTTGGCTAAACCTCTTATCCCATGCATAAGTTCACACCTTTCATATTGTTGGGACTAATGTGTTGAACTAATTTTTAATTTCTCAATGACCAAAGGTAATGATGATTAAACATGAGTTCGTCACATTTAAACGAATTTAGGACAAGTGTCGTGGATTAGATCTTAGTTTCACTTGAAAAGGAATTGCTTCATTTTGTTGTGCTAAATTTTGGATTGAAAATAATTTCGTTCAAAATAAGATTATTTAGTTTGTAAAACTTAGTTTTCACTTAGTGTAAAAAATAGGAATTAATTCGGATAACTTTTTTAATCGAAAATTCCAACCCTTTCTAGGCCACCTTTCCCACCATCGCACATGAAGAAATAAATTGATAATTCATTTTTCTTTTAATCCGGAAGGAAAACATTTTTTAATATATTTTTTATGCAGAATCAATTGACTCGTAAACGAATATTTATCATCAGTTTGTGCTGATTAAAGAACAATTAGTGGAGTTCAATCAAATGGCAATAGAACACGCCAACGGACATGAAGACATGCTTAACAGGAACAAAATCAATTATGTCATATCAATTAAATCAAGCCAAATTTTTGCAATTCTTTTCAATACAATTCAATTCAATTCAATTCAATGCAAATCAATGCAAGTCAAGTCGTGTCAAATCAAGTGAAATTAAGTCTGATCAAAGCAAATTAATTAAAATAAATCTAATATTTTTTATTATAATTAATTCAATCAAACAAATATGTTATTTAACATAATGAGAATAGTTTTTGTTTATTCTACTAATTGATATGGTCAAACCAGGGTTATGACGAAAGATAACATTGCACTTGCAGCTTTACTTCAGACAAAGGAAGCATGTTGGGAGACGGGGGTACCCCCAGATCCTTCACAGGTACAATTTTCTCCCCCCCCCCCTCTCAACCCCCTTCACCCGGTTCACTGGTAGTACTTAGTAATAGCTTGAGAACTCAGCGTTGCCAAGGATACTAAAAGTTACTCCCGCCGTTTACTCACGCTTTGTCGTAAATTAGTATTTTAGCTATTTTCTCTTTTAAAGACCCAGTCAACTTAGAATCTCAAAACCAAGCTAATAACATTCCCGTGAGTCTCCCGAGTTCAAATCCAATTTTGAGTCAAATCGGTCTAGGGCATAAGTTATGACAGGACATCTTAACAAACAAACATAGATGACAACTTTATATACACTTACCTCCCCCCCCCTGCAAAATGAGCATTCACTTTTCACCCTTCAAACAAACTATCCTTATTTACATTTAGCATATACCCCCCACCTCCTTCTGTTCTTCATAGTGTATTTAATGACATCTGGAATGTATTCCGTGAATTTTAGGTTGCGCAGCCTATTCTTGTCTGTTCTGCGCATATTCACTGGGATCCAGAGTTCTGCGATGTTAAGCTCATCCAAACAATGATGTTAATGGAGCAATTGAGGCAGATAGTGGAGTCTAGTGGACATAATCTCAGGTTAGTGGAGTCTAGTGGACATAATCTGAGGTTAGTGTAATCTAGTGGACATAATCGTTAGTGGAGTCTAATGGACATAATCTCAGGTTAGTGGAGAAACTCAAACCTAAAAAATATTTGTATAAAAAATGTCCAAAATCGATAATATTGGTTGATATTGGTTTGAAAAGCAAAGTTTTTGAACTGATAAGGTTTTCTAAATATTCGATTTTTTAAGACCATTTTTCTGAGACAAACTGTAAGTTAAGATTTTTTTATAAACGGATTCCAATACCCCCCTTATCATTATACAACTTATAGTAAAGTTCGTTTTTCAGTTACACAAAGTCGACCTTGTGGGTCTTATTGGATATAAAGAATGTATATTTCTAGGATATTGGATATAAAGAATGTATATTTCTAGGATATTGGATGTAAGGAATGTCTATTTCTAGGATATTGAATATAGAGAATGTATATTTCTAGGATATTGGAATAATAAATGTATATTTCTAGGATATTGGATATAAAGAATGTATATTTCTAGGATATTGAATATAAAGAATGAATATTTCTAGGATATTGAATATAAAGAATGAATATTTCTAGGATATTGAATATAAAGAATGAATATTTCTTGGATATTGGATATAAGGAATGTCTATTTCTAGGATATTGAATATAAAGAATGTATATTTCTAGGATATTGAATATAAAGAATGAATATTTCTAGGATATTGGATATAAGGAATGTCTATTTCTAGGATATTGAATATAAAGAATGTATATTTCTAGGATATTGGAATAATAAATGTATATTTCTAGGTTATTGGAATAATAAATGTATATTTCTAGGATATTGGATATAAAGAATGTCTATTGAAAATGTTGAGCCACACGAATAACGATCAGCAGTTTACACACGCTTTCCAGGTATAATTGAATACTTAAATTATAACAATGCTTAAAAACTTCATACAGCGAGAATTAGAAAATTGTGGAATACATGTCTGCTTTGTTCTTCTTCTACTTAACAAATGTCTGAGGATATTTTAATTTGCATTTGTTGCAAAGTTAATATTTCTCTTTAACTGTTCTAAAGTGGGAGCTCTTGTATTGTGAATATCGAAATCAATGTTTGATCTAGATATTCTGTTAATTTAAAGATTAATTCAATCATTTTTCGTTAACCCCACAGGAATAACTGAAGTGACTCATTGACTCATTAATAATTGAATTGTATTTAAAAACTCACCAGTGCACTAGTTAACCAAAGACACGTCTAAATTATTTAAGACCGTCAAAATTCAAATTTTAAAACTTAATTTTAATTAAACTTGCTTGATCAATAATTAAAAGCTAAAATATTACGCATTTAAATGAAAAATTACATTACATTTATATTTTTGTGACATTTTCAACGAGTCAATATATCTTTTCTGTTTCTACTGATAGTGCATTAAGTTAAAATAAAAAGAGTCTAAAAAAGCGTTATATCGTGAATGAAAAATGGTATATTAGGTTTCTTTGATGTTCAGATCGTCAACAAGTAAACACATCATATTTTTAGATGAGTTCAGCGTATTCGGAAGAACTTATGCCCTACACCAACTTCACATTTGACTTCAAAGGAACATTCATAAAAACATTATTAAAAAAAACATCTGTATACGTTGTAAACAATCTGCTTCACACAGAGGGATAACGTTATGTATGCAGTATGCATAATATACATTAATTTAAAGAAAAACACAGAATACAAAATTTTTTCACAAAACTACTTTTAAAAAATCGGGAGAAAATGTTATTTATGATATGTTCAGGAATTATTGACTATATTTTCTTTCCAAAAGGACCAATGCGACCTCTAGGTAAGATTTAAGTTACAAAACGTATTAAAAATAAATGAGAACTCCAATCAGTCCCCCCTCGTTAAACAATCAAAATACAGAGTATTTTTACAGGTCAATATTAGTAACTTTTTGATTAGATGATAACATTTCTGTGAAAATATTACATTTTGGTTCATTAAATAATATTTCTTTGTAAATGTACATAAAAAGTAATGTAACAAGTAATCTGGAAGTGTTGGCAGGTAGAAACCTCATGCTTAAAAAGCTTGTAGCAGACAACTCATATTTGTACCTCTACGAATACCTGCAAGAAGAGATTTCAAAGTTTATCTTATTTTCAATAGATGCAGCAGCTGACGAGAAAGTAATAGAAAATAATATACAATGGATGTCTCTTCTTGTACGTATACGCAAGATATCAAAATTGGATGTATACCGACTTACTGCCTGTCCAGATTACTTGAACCGTATTAAATGGATGTATGAGCAATTAGAGTAATTTCTTTTTTGACCGCTACTCAAACTTTGGCGCTGACAGTCCCTTAAATCATACTTTAAGGTATTCTGGGACCTATATCTGAGGACTGGATTAAGGAGAGTAAGATTGTAGGATGCCCGCACCCTCATATACCCTCGGACCATTTCCCTCTTCTTGTAGAGTTCGGACTCAGTCTTGGAGGAACTTATTCATCTTTTTATGATAATAACGGATAATAGCCCCCCCCCCCCCCCCCCCCCCCCTCCGAGAGAGACATGGCCACAGATTTAATAGAACAGGGGTTTGTTTCATGTCCAGCAAAAGCTTCAGAAGAGCGAGGTTTTATAACAAAATTTATTTTCTTCATTTTCAATTTTACATTTAACCCTTTAANCGGGGGGGGGGGGGGTTATTCATAAAAATATACAGCACACTCTTGATCTTTTCGGATCTTACTTTGTTATTTGAAACGCCTCTCTACAAAGTCGGAAAGATTCTTTACGAGATCCTAGTCTTTTTTTTTTTCAAAATGGAAGTATGATTCAAACTCTGTTATTGAATAGAAATGCCGTACGAATACATTATAATATCCATTTATTCAGGACCATTCCCTAAAAACGCAATGATATTTTCAAACTCCCATTTTAAGATGAATTTGCTTACAGCAGTGCGAAGTCCTCAGGTTATGTTGCCCCCTCCCTCATCCAAAGTGTTCATGAGGGGAAAGGATTTCTAGCCTATGCTGAACAATAGGATTTATGAGAGATTTCTGCCCTTACCTTATCTATAGGAATGTATTGCTGAGAAGGAAACAGTCCCTTATTTATGAAAAAAATGAGGTTCGATCAATGAAAAGATCAGAACATTCTTTTTTTTCTCTTCATCCTGTCCCCGTGAGATAAACCCAAAAAGTATTTTTTTTTTTAAATTACAAATATTTTCATGATTGTTAATTTTTTAGTCGACATTAAATTCATTTCCCAATCATACTCACACTATACGCAGTTTACATACACACAGTTCAATCAATGGCTTGTCTTAAACTTAGAATTTTCATTGTTTTTTAAAACCGAGATTTCTCGGCTTGCTCTATTTTTGGCAGAACAATGTGTTTTTGATAAATCCAGCAAATATTGATCTTTAAATATCTAAAAATATGTTTCATTGTTTAAAAAATGTTGTCTTTAGTCTTAATTGATCCCAATCAGTAAGCAAGATTATAAAGTTCACAAAGTTATACATCTTTCTCACGTCTTTTTATCAAGTGTTTAAAAACAATTAACAAGTCTGATGTTGCCAAAAATAATGAATTTAATACGATCCTTAATCTTGTTTCCATATTTCTAGTTGTTCATGTTTAGCGTGTTTAACAATCTCTAATCACAGTTTGCTCAGATAAGACGAATAAATAAATAAATAAATAAAATGGTCAACCATCGTTCCGTATGTGTCAGAGTTAAGGTCTTAACTAACCGCACCACAATTATGGTTGACAGGGCGTCACTGGCATATGTTTCAATGTATCAAAGTTTTGAGGGCCAGGCAAAAGTCAAGTTAAAATACGGGTTGCCTTTACACCGAATTCAGACCGTTGCTGACATAAAAATAAATATTTAAAGGGATTTTAGTGACCTTACATTTATTGAGTGGTTTATCCTATTCACAATAGTATCACTTTAATTTTATCTGATCAAAAGATATTCTTATTTGTCCAGAGCTAAAAACATTAGTATGGTGGATATCAAAATCAATGCTTGATCTCTTCTTTTTCTTAATCTCCATATTAAATAATGCTTGTTCTCCTCTTGTTATTAATCTCCAAATTTATTAACCGATCGGGATTAAGGATATCCAATTCTAAAGTTTTCAGCTCAGATGAAAATTATATTAATTGTGGTTTCCCCGCTTAGAGGAAATTTACCGATCTCAACACTTTAATGGATAAAAAAACTGACGATATCTTCCTCATTTTTTCTCAGATTAATGTTTAAATTGTGCGTTATGAGTCGGACATACCACAACATGCAATAGTTTTGCAAACCCTAATCGGCACTGGTTTAAGCTAGACGTCATTTAATCTATGCTGTTAGACCTATATATTGAGATGCTATGATGTCCGACCTACTGTCGTTTGAGCTATTGAGTATTTTGACAATTGTTTATGTTACCAACATATAGGCTTTTAATTGTAGCAGTTGTAATAAAGATTACATCACAAGAGCCTCTGAAAATAAAGAGAAGTTCATTTAGACCACATTTAAAGATTTTCAAAAAAAACGATGATGAAATATAAACATAAGAGTTTACCTGCATATGGTGTACAGTCTTACTTCGTCTGAATGTTACTTTATAATTTTTAATTTGAATGAATGTTCACTACAAATTAAAAGAATTAAGTAATAATATTAATGTCATCTTCCTTAAAGCAATGCCGATTTCTGGGGTTTGCATGGCTCTTGCAGGGTGGCCACTCTTCAAATATAGGGTCACTTGAAAAACGTTTGAATTCTATTAAATATTGGTCGCTTGTCGACTTTCGTATAAGGATGGTTGAAGAGATTGCACAGAGGGTATAGTTCTCAAAAGTTCTAGAAACTATAACAACTAATTTTCTCGTCTTATCTGTTTAATCTGTGTCTTAAATGATATTATTAACCTCCTCCGAGCCTAAACTCCTTTCATTAGTCATTTCTCTGTGATGCAGTACACCAACACTGCAGTACACTTCAGTACAACATTTATACATATATTCTCAATGATTTTTCTTATACACACAAGACAGAATTAGATTACTTCCATTCAACTTGTTGGCTGTAATTAAACATATAATTTTTTCATCAGTATTGTATTTTTTTGGTCTAATGTACTGCTGTTGTTATGTACTGATGATAATCTGTACTGTTGATCATCTGATGTACTGTTCCGTACAGTTAAATAACCCTGAATTGTTTAAAACTAAAACTCTAAATATTTCAGATAAATATAGAGGAAAATATGCAAGATAATACAAGGTAATCTCCTTAAACTTAAACACCATTTTTATTTTATTAAAATAAAACTTTATATGAACGATCTATATTTTATCCCTTTAATCCTTCACATCTTAGTTTCTGAAGATTCTCATTTTTACCAGTTTCTTCGCCTTTTTATAGAATTGGCAAGCTAAAAATAACTTTTTAATCGGCTTCCCGATCTCAACTTTTTTTCATTCATGTTTTTTTTCTCAGGGACATTAGCTTATCTGTTTCTTTTTGGACATGAAATTTACAATGTTTAATTTTTCTTTTCTTAAATAAAAAACTGCAATGAAAAGGATAAACAAATGATTTTCGGAAGAATAAAGGGACTGTTTACGTGATTTTAAGTGACTCTGCCCTGTTTTGATAGATTGGTATAGCCAATTCACAGAAGTACCCATTAACTGACTAAGTATAAATTACAAATACATGTTTTTGTTTTTGAAAACTGGTGATTTTCATTTGTTGGACCTTTCGAAAGTGACTTGTGCATTTCTTGCTTCTAAAACATTGGAGAAATTAACAGAATTTAACAATTTCTAACCAGAAAGCTACGTTAGTTTCATCAGATTTAGGGTAACATTGTTAATTGGGCCTTTGGACCCCTCTTTGAATGAAATATCTTCTGCCCATACGACGACAGTTCCTTTTATTGCCTGAATGCTGATGCATCCAAAAGTTTTGAGAATCATCCCGGCCCTCTCCGGGTTGTTTTTAAACTTTTTTTTGTTGTTTTAGAGAAATTGCTGAGATAAACAAGTATCTTGAGACAGAAGAAGAATGGGAGAATGTGGCTCAAGTTGTTCCAAAGTTTAACGGTAAATATTACAGGGGTGAATACTTTTCGTAAATATCTTTCATTTACAGTATTTGTGTAAAATATAACCGTAAATATTACAGGGGTGAATACATTCCGTAAGTATCTTTCATTTACAGTATCATTGTAAAGTTTAACGGTAAATATTACAGGGGTGATTACTTTCCTTAAATATCTTTCATTTACAGTATTTGTGCAAAGTTCAACGGTAAATATTACAGGTGTGAATACTTAATGTAAATATATTTCATTTGCTGTATTTGTGTAAAGTTTTACCCACAGTTTTATAATCATTTTAGCTATGTATTTTGTCGTATTTCGATCTAGATTCCACCTTTGTACATTTTTTTATGTAAAAATTCACGCGTTTCTATTAGGATACTGAAAAAAGTTTTAATTAAGAAACTTGGATTTTGAAGATATTTGATTTTTGTTATTTTTAATTTAAAAATATCTTGTTAAAATGAAGAAAGTTTGATTGATTGATTAGATTGAAAAGTTGATACTCTAGATGATGTGAATATTGTTGATGTGAGTTGTTCCCCGGAAACTAGGCTAGTTTCTCCCCTGGTTAGTCAGGAGAGGGTTTACCTATATCTTCGTTCAGGAATACTAGAAGAATATCTAGCTCAGGTATCCAATACAGGGGGTTATATTTTCTTCAAAAAAGGACCCTGGCCCCTCCTTCTAGAAAACTATTATTTCCTCCAAAATGTTAGAGCTATATTCGCTTTATTGGGGAAAATAAATGATTCCTTTAGGGAAAACAGAAAAAGTTTTGGGTAAAAAATATCTGAATAGGTTAATTATGTTGCTGGTTAATTATGTTGCTGGTTAATTATGTTGCTGGTTAATTGTCCAATTATCATTTTTCCTTAGAGCATCGAAAATCATTAAAAAAAATTACTCCCCGGCCCTGACTCGATATCAATGTCAATATCAATCAATCAATTACATTTCGAGTCGGACCCGGGATCCATGAAACTTTGATTGGGATCCGGATCTGAAATCCTACCAGATAGAAATGGATCCTGACGGTTTCGCAAACAGAAAATTTTGTAATACACGTCCGAAGACGATAACTTTAATTTGATTTGAATCCATTATTGCGTTTTTTTGTAAACATGACACAACATTATCAAGTGATTTCAAATTTAGAAGATCTTATTGAAATTTGTATCTAATGTTTTATTTTACTGGAGAATATTTGAAGGTTACTGAAAGGCCTCAGACAAGTTTTGATCTATTTTTCAACTGTATTTGTTCATATCGACCTCTTCCTCCGCATTTAGGTAAACACCTTCGTCCTTCATGGTGACGTCAGAGAGCATTATGTAAACTAAGTTTTGTTTATTTTTACCAACATTTTCACCAAAAACTGAACAATTAAGCCATCTGATAGCATTAAGTTGATCAAATCGATCTTTGTATTAACGATCAAATCAAAAAATGTTTAACTAAAAAAATTGATTTAAGCTACAGTAATAACCAGAAATTTTTGGAATAGGAAGTCGACTTTTAGAATTAAGTTAAGACTTTAAATAGTCCAATGAACATGAGGCACAGCAGAACCATTTTACTTAATAAGTGATTTGATAACTTACAAGAAAATCTATTTGCATTGAAACAACATTAATTGCACTTCAGTTTTGCTTTACTTTCGTCTTCCTATTCTACAGTTTTCTGGTTATCACTGTATTTCGGGGAATATGTTGCTATTAATTTTTGGACATAATTCTAAGACAAGTTTTGTTTTATTATGAGCGGCTATCAAATAAAATATGAATTTGTCTGTAATCACAGATATTCTCTAACCGTCTTTATGTTTAGAGCAGGAGAAGCAACGTATTCTTGCCACAGCACTAATTCCATTCAAAAACGAGGAATCAATACATCTTGATATTTTACGGTAACGATACAATTAAGATATATTAAATCTAAAGTTTGTTACATTATATTATTGAACTAGCTGAAAGACCCGGCGTTGTCCGTGCAAAAAAAGAGTAAATTATTGAAAAAAATGAAAAAAATAACGAATTTTTTTTAGCCTATAACAACCCCCGGCTACCCATGAGTATCCACAAAAAATTTCAGCACAATCAGTCCAACTGTTTGGCCGGCTATACGGAACGTGCATATATATGAATGTCTTGTTTTATTATAAAGATTAACGCAAATCTTTCGTTAAGCATTATCGTCAGCATCGCCATTTGCCGAGAACAGGGTTGGGGGGATTCAGGGGAGTATATTTTCTTTAAAAATCATTTATTTCCCCTCCTTTTTAAATTATCCCCCCCCCCCCCCCC